TGAGCTTGATGTCCCCTGCGACTATGGTCCCGAGCCTACAGGTTCAACTACTCGGACCCTCTGGGTAGCTGGCTGTGCCCAAGAAGTGACTACAACCTTGTCCCTTGTCAGCTCTTCTATATCCCTGGGAATTCTTACAGAACATACAAATACACTTGTAGAACCCTTGTCTGTGAGCCCTATACATGTCTTGGGTACACTCCCTGCTACATAGACATACCTAATAATTCAGCTTGTCTATTCATCTATCCATCCGTATACCCGTGTTTGCCTTCACTGACAACGCAGTACTGTGTGTGCAAAAGAGTTCATCTTTGTTGTCTGTACCTCCCATGTACCTCTCTATGTCTTCCTCTTCCTCAATGCCACCATGTTAATCACTCACATTTGGTATATTGCCCTTCTCTTCACCCAAATCAATACTTATCTCTACCTATCTAACAGTGTTCCCTTCCACCCCTGGTAACCAACAAAGAAAATTTCCTTCCATATATAAACTGTTTCTCGACTTTTACACTAATGGACTAATACATTTGTCCTTCTGTGATTGACTTATTTCACTCAGCACAATGTCCTCCAAGTTCATGCATATTATGCGGTGTTATGCAGATTCTACGTTATTCTTTAGGGTTGCATAGTATTCCATTGTGTGTATGTACCATAGTTTGGTTATCCATTCTTCTGTTGATGGACACCAAGGTTGTTTCCAACTTTTTGCTATTGTAAATAGTGCTGCGATGAACATGGGTGTGCATATATCTGTTCTTGTCCTGGCTCTTACTTCTTTAGGATATATACCTAGTAATTGAATGGCTGGGTCAAATGATATTTCTAATTCTGACTTTTTAAGGAATCGCCATACTGCTTTCCACAGTGGTTGTACCATTTCACAGTCCCACCAGCAGTGTATGAGAGTCTTGACCTCATTTTTCAAAAAAGCTTGTTGAGCTGATTAAACTGCTTCATAATTGGCCCTGCTTCTCTTATTTGCAAATATAAATTAATACAGATTAATCCACAGGGTGTTGAACTACATAAAAACAGAAGAAATACCACAAGTTTTTCATTCTGCTTCTGATGTCTGTTAGTAACAACAAAAGGTACTTAGTGAAAGAGAATGTTCATGGCATCAACACCTTATTACTGCTGATTAGAAATTCTATCAAAGAAATAAAAGATGGTAAAACCCAGAGAAATAAAAACTACTGAGCATTATCTGGAAGAAATTAACATGGTAGAAAATAGAATTTAAGGATAAACTTGGTATAACAGTTAAGACCAACATTTGGCTGGTATTTGTTTATTTTTCTATAAAAATGAACCTATAGTAGGCATTCTAAGGCTGATATGGTGGCCTCACATGTCATTAATCAGTTGCCATCAAGTTGATTTCCACTCATGGCAACCCTGTGTGTGTCAGAATAGAACTGTGCTCCATAGGGTTTTCAATGGCTAGTTTTTTGGAAGTAGATTGCCAGAGCTTTCTTCTGAGGTGATTCAGGTGAGCTGGAACCTCCAACCTTTCAGTTAACAGCTGAACACATTAACCATTTGCACCACTTAGTGTCCCAATATTCTTCCAACATTTTGCTCTACCATCTGTAACTTATATTTTCAGCTGGTGGAATGAGGAAGGGAAAAAGGAAAAAGGGCCTGCCAGTTCAGTCTATTTTCTTTTTTTAAGTGCTACTCAACAAGTACTGCTCATATCCCTGTTGTCCACATTCAGTCAGAAGTTCACCTCTGTCTTCAGGAGAGGCTGAGAAGTGTAATTTTCACCAGGGCACAGTTGGCACTCACAACAAGATCAGAATTCTGTTAGTAATAATGAAGAAGAAATGAATAATGGGTAATCTTTGACACAATTACATCTCTAAAAACACATTCTTTGATTTTTATTATAAATAACATTTACTTTTTGGAGGGGTAGGAAGAAGCAAAACCTGTTACTCTATTTATCTCTCATTTGGACTTCTCTATATGTTCTTTGGGAGCTCTGGTGGCATAGTGCCTAAGGCACTTGACTGCTAACCAGAAGGTTGGAGGTTCAAACCCACCAGCTACTCCTCGGAAGGAAGGTTGGGCAATCCACTTCCATAGAGATACCGCCTCGGAAACCCAAGGAGGGGTCACTATGAGTCGAATTGACTCATGGCAGTAAGTTTGGGTTTCTTTCTTTTCTTTTTTTTAATGTTCTTTAAGAGTCCTGGTGGCACAACAGTTAAGCACTAGGCTGCTTGCTGTAAGAGTGGTGGTTTTAACTCACCCAGCCCCTCTTCTGAAGAAATACCTGGCAATCTGCTTCTTGAAAGATTATACCCATGAAAACTCTGTGGGGCAGTTCTACTTTGTCACAGTAGGAATCAACTGGACAGTACCCAACAACAAACAACATATATACGTTATTAACTATTCACAATTCCAGTAGGTCTTAATGTGTATTTCTCACCTTAGGTTTTATACACTTGGAATGAAATGACGTGGGTTTGATCTAGTTCTGCCAGTCGTTAGCTGTGTGATACAAGGCATATCATTTAACTTTAGTCAATCATTCATTTTTTTCATTTATGAAGTAGGGATAGTAGCATTCATAATTTCTTATGAAAGTTAAATGAGAACCATTTTTTAATAAATGTAAAAATGCTTTGTAAACTATCAAGTCCTACTGAGCTGTAGGACATTTTTAAAATTACTCTCAATAAATAAAATACTTACATTCTTGGCATCCAATAGCAATCATTTGGCCCCATTATATCACAATTTATGATCTCTAAATTTGTAGGCAATTCTCATTTCATTCAACTAAGTTATCTCAATATAAGATTGAATGGAGAGTTTATCCTAACTAAGTATGAAAATTACAAGTTTTTTCCCCCATTATAAATATAATTGGCCAGTTGATATTCTCCCAAAGTCATCATAAAAATACATGAAAGTAAAGCCCTTTGGAAGGAGCTCTGGTGGCATGACAATTAAGCACTCTGCTACTAATTGAAAGATTGGCAGTTTGAACCCACCTAGCCTGGTGATCTCCTCCCATAAAGATTACAGCCTAGAAAACCACATGGGGCAGTTCTACTCTCTCACATTGGGTCACTAAGTTGAAATCGGTGGAACCCAACAATAATGACAAAGCCTATTGGAAAGAAAGCAGTATTTATATAGTTACTTAAATGTTTAATAATGTCTCATGTTTTATAGACTCTTGGTTATACCTAACATTTTATGGTACTTTATAATAAAGATAGGGATCATATCTTACTCTCCCCACATCCACAGTAAATGTTTGTTAGATGCATGTAGCCTTATGTTAAAAGCATGGATTTTGACATTAATCCCTGCCCTACAACTTGCTTAACCATGTTTCTTGGGGACAAGTTACTTAAACTAATAATAATAGTTCCTGCCTTATGGGCATAGATAAAGCAGTTAAAATGGTGTCTTACTAATTCTAAGTGTTTCATAAAGGTCAGCTGTCATCATTAAGCTTGGTCCTATTTCCACAAATACTTGGTTGCATTTTTATTTAGCAAACATTAAGCTATGAGTGGAATCAAGTATAATGCTTTTTGAATATATTAAATCAAATATTTGTTATTTTTTTAATGGCTGTTTTATCTCCCTGTTTCTCTAGGTGTAGTGAATATAGGTGTGACTAATGTCCAGGAGTTGATTGTTGCAGCAGACATGCTGCAGTTGACTGAAGTTGTTAATCTTTGCTGTGAATTTCTGAAAGGACAAATTGATCCATTGAACTGCATTGGGATATTTCAGTTCTCTGAACAAATTGCCTGCCATGATCTTTTGGAATTCACAGAAAACTATATTCATGTCCATTTCTTGGAGGTTCATAGTGGGGAAGAATTTCTGGCACTTACAAAAGATCAGCTGGTCAAAATACTGCGAAGTGAAGAGCTTAGCATTGAGGATGAATACCAGGTCTTCTTAGCAGCAATGCAATGGATTCTGAAAGATCTGGGAAAAAGAAGAAAACACGTGGTAGAAGTGCTGGACCCAATTCGATTTCCTTTATTACCTCCTCAGAGGCTTTTAAAGTATATAGAAGGTAACTTTTTTTTGCTATGTATCTAATTAGTTGATGAATTATTCTATAATTTTTTCCCCTCTGTTTGAAATGTGATAGTTTCATTTTTCCATTCAGTAAGAGACATTTATGAAATAACTATTGTAGGCAAAATAGGACTTTTGTGTTTTATTGGTAGACAGTAGTTTTCAGCATGTCTACAAATTATTTTAAACAAATCCTTACATACCTTTCTCGAGATTAATACTTACTAAGGGATATTAAAAAAAAAAACAACAACTCACTGCCATCGAGTCAATTCCTACTCATAACGACCCTTCCTTGGGTTTCCAAGGGGTATCACTATGGAAGTAGATTGTCCAGTCTTAGTGTTGCAGGTAAAATTTCTGAAAGATAGCATGCACTTGCAACTCTTTGTGTTTTGTTACTAGATCTTAGGTGCTGTGAGTTGGCTCCAACTCGTAGCAACCCTGTATGCAGTAGAACGAAACACTGCCTGGTGCTGCACCATCCTCACAATATTTGCTGTTTCAGCCCATCATTGCAGCCACTATGTCAGTCCATCTTGTTCAGGGTCTTCCCCTTTTCCACTGACACTCTACATTACCAAGCATAATATCCTTTCCAGGGACCAGTCCCTTCTAACAACATGACCAAAGTAAGTGACATGAAATCTACCCATTCTCACTTCTAAGAAGCATCCCTGATGTACTTCCAAGACAGATTTGTTCATTCTTCTGGAAATCCATGGTACTTCCAGTATCCTTCATAACACTACAGTTCAAAAGCATCATTTCTTCTTTGGCCTGCCTTATTCATTGCACACTTTCACATGCATATGAGGCTATTGAAGATACTATGGCTTGGGTCAGGTGCCCAAAATGACATCTTTGCCCCTTAACACTTTAAAGAGATCTTTTGCAGCAAATATGCCCCGTGTAATACTTTACTGATTTCTTGACTGATGCTTCCATGGGCCTTGATTGTGGATCCTCCAATTCTTATGCTGCATTCTTCTTCATACAGTCCAACTACTCATATTATTTGTTCAGCATGCAGATTGAATAAGTGCGGTGAAAGGATACAACCCTGATGCACAACTTTCCTGATTTTAAACCACTCAATATCCCCATGGTCAGCTCAGACAGTATCTTCTTGGTCTATGTATAGGTTCTTCATAAGCACCATTAAGTGTTCTGGAATTACCATTCCTCATAGTTTTATCCATAATTTGTTATGATCCACACAGTCTAATGCCTTTGCATAGCC